ACATGCACATGGAGAAACCGACCTTATAATGTGGGAAGCATAATGATAAATTGGTATTAATACATTTGAGTAAGTAAAATATTGTGCAAGATATGCACTGTAAAGATAATTTTGTAGGCCCACTGCACACAGGGGTTGGGGATAGCCCTACCAGCAAGGTGTTGCAGGCCCACAATTTTCACAAAAGATGTAAATACATTATGCCATGCACATATATCATAATTTAAAGCCTAGTTGACGCATACATTGGTTATAGTAATATTTGCCATTTGTAAGAATGTAAATATGGTACAATATGGCGACATAGCAATCATAAAAAATAATAGGTACAGTATTTGTAGTGAAGGTAAATCATTATAAGTATATAATATGTCCATACTAAGGGCAAGTATATTATATTAACTAGGGACTAAATTTCATATTACTGATACATGTAAGTACTTTGCGGATACCGTTAAAGTACGTATATGTTACGTTGGTAAATAATGCGTGAATGGATATCTACATTCAACTAAAGACAAATATAGTATTTCTACGCAGTTTAGAGCGAGTATGGGTAAGTAATTTATGATTACATTGGTAAGAGGTACAAGATTTGCAATGAAAGTACATCGTGACCAAGTGATTTAGAACGAGATTGTTGTTAGAGTAAGCACAGTCAAGTTATTTTTACAAATGGAAATGGATACGATCATGCAAATCGTTCACTTTTCATTATATATTCTTGAACAGCTGATACGATTTCCTCGTTTTGCTGTATAGTTAAATCGGGATTTCCCCAGAGTAAACATTCAGTATTTAAATCATAATTGAGTGCCCAAATGTATTGTTCTCTTATGTTTGTGTATTTTTCACAAGCAAATAAATAATGAAAGTTGTCTTCAATATAACCGCATGTACAAAAATGATCGTCGCTAATGTTTTTCTCAAAGAGGTGTGCTTTTAAGCTGCTATATAGTAGTCTAAGTCTCGAATAGTATATTTGGGCTGTTCTGTTTCCATAGGATCGGTAACTAGGCGATTTACCTTTGTCTCTATAAAGATAATGTTTAAGGACAGACACAGAGGGGTTTTCTCGTATAGTGGTAGGTAGATTGTTCCACAAATGGACAGTAGAAGGAAGGAAGGAGTTTTTGTAGAAACTGGTATTAGTTTTAATGGTAGATAAATGATTCGATTGTCTAGTTCTCATATTATGTATTTCGGAATTTCTCCGTGGAAGTATATTAGAAAGAGAAGACGGAGTATGGTTATAGACCATGTTGTGGAGCTTGATAATCTTATGTTTTTTCCTGCGTTCTGCTAATGTGTCCCAACATGTATCTTTATATAACAATTCTATACTTACCAATTTTGTTGCTCCAGTAACAATCCGTGCTGATTCCTTGTGAATAGATTCTAGTTTATTAATAAAGACAATTGGCAAAGAATCCCAAACAACATCAGCATATTCAAGGATCGGCAAAATATATGAGAAATATATACGTTCTAACGTGCTACGGTCAAGAACAAATTTGAGCTTCCTTAGGGCAGATAACCTTTTGGACGCCTTCAAGATAATACCGTCAACATGATTAGTCCAACTTAAATCTTCATTGATATATACACCTAGATGTTTGTGTCTTATTACTTGATTGATATTTGTGTTATCCATACTAAGTTGTGGAAGGATAGATTTTGAAGATTTCCTACTGATTATTAACGACTCTGTTTTATTTGCATTAAACGTAACTAGCCATTGATTAGCCCAAGCATGAATATTACATAAGTCATTATTTAATACGTTGGCTGAGTTAATAGCGTTGTCTACTACGAGATAGAGGGTAGTGTCATCTGCAAATAATTTTATAATACTAGCAATGTCAGAAACTATATCATTGATAAAAATCAGAAACAATAAGGGTCCTAAAATAGAGCCCTGTGGAACCCCAGCTTTAATTGTACCATAGTTTGAAAATTCACCGTTTACCAAAACTCGCTGTTTCCTATCAGAAAGATAACTTTTGAACCACCCTAATAGCGTTCCCCTTATGCCTGCTTTGTTTAATTTATAAAGGAGACCCTTATGCCACACCCTATCAAAAGCTTTACTTATATCTAGGAAAATAACCTGCACCTCCTTCCCACAATCTAAAGCTTTACCAATATCATTTGTAATAGTCAATAGTTGATTTATAGCAGAATCACCTCTTCTAAAACCCGACTGGTGTTCGGTGAAAAAAGAAGAGTCTCGTAGAAAATTATACACATGTTTAAAAACACACCTTTCCATAACCTTTCCTATTATACTAATAAGGGAAATCGGTCTATAATTTGAAACTACACTAGGGTCGTCTTTTTTAAATATAGGAATAACATTAGCCATTTTCCACATTTCGGGATATGATTGATTCGACAGTGATTTGTTAAAAAGACTACAAAGAGGCCCAATTAACTGACGTTTACCTTCTTTTAAAAATTTCCCACTTATTAAGTCAGGCCCAGGTGCTATAGACGCGTCAAGTATACTAATAGCATCAGAGACGTCCTGCTGTGTAATAGTAATATTTTCTAGTATGATAGTAATATTGTCATGATTAACTGGAAGGGGTCGATGTAAGTCGTTAAGTTCGGTCTGTTGAATAAAGTAGTCATTAAGAATAGTGACTTTTTCTTTATCATCAATGTACTCTTGACCATTATAAATGATCATAGGTATGTCAGTAGTTTTACATGAAAAGTTAGTTAATGAGTTCAAGACTTTCCACCAATTTTTAGAAGAGTTAGGAGTGGTTTGAAGGTAAGATGATATTTTTTTGTAATAATTACTTTTCGCCTGCCGAATAGCATCAACACATGCATTTCTTACTTTTCTGAATGTTTCCCAATGAAGTGGGTTCTGTGTAGGCTTGGCTTTTGCATGAATTCTTTTTCTAGTTCTGATCAATTTACGTATATTATTGTGCATCCAAGGCGGGTCAGCTTTTCTTATTGTGATACATTTGTTTGGTATTGTCTCTGAAGCTATTTGAGTAATTGTTTTTGTAACATAATCTGCATCGAGATCTGTAGATAATGCTTCTGTATCATTCCAGGTAATGTTATTTAATTTCTCACGATAATTGTTAAAATTGCAATCTTTGTATGGACTTTTTTTATGTTAATAAGTCTAAGTGCTAATTCTATAACAATGATTTCACTGGTATAAACGGAGCACTGATCGGTCAGTCTGAGTGATAATGTGTTGGGGTTTTCTCAGGAATAAATACCTAACCCTACTCTGTTCGTTTGTAGATTTTATTATCCGTCAGTATAATGTTTATCACTATCATTGTATTTCTCGTCAATTATGGCTAATGCTATTGCCCTAGTTTCTGCCAGGTCTTCCTTTTTGTTGGTTTTATTTAAAATTTCAGTGCTAATTTCCGGAGTGTCTAATTTCAATGGTGGAGTGGGATTCGGAATAATTTCTTCTATTTTAACTTGGTCTAAAGTGTGTCCGACGAGAAGTTGGTTACATGGTTAGATGGTGATGTATTGTGTTGTTTTAGTATATCTCTATAATTGATGTACTTAGCTTGTTATACTGTAACATTAGGTGGAAATTCAGGTCCTACAGTTTAAGCTCTAGCCCAGTATTTTGATAGTAATTGTTCTCCCCTAAGTTTTGATGGTATTTCACTAGTTTCTGCATGTAGACTTATGGTAGGTGTGTTTTCTATTGCGCCTGTTGTTTCTGGCTCGGGACAGAAAGATAAATGTGGCTCGCCAGAGGTTCGTCACGTTTGTCTTTCTTCACCCTCGCCAAAATGCAGTTTATATTTTAAGACACTTACCATGTATTCTATTTATCCTGCAACATTGATTGAAAACCAGACTATTGAAACTCTGCCTCATGACGGTCGCCAATGTCATTCTTCAACACGGAAATGTAGTTCCAAACTTCATCGCATATAACAGAGATTTTATGAATTTTCATAAATCAACTTGTTCATTACAACATGTTAAATTGCTAACTTAACATCTGTTTACATTTCTAAACATAATATTTAAGTAAATTCAGAGAGTAATTCTGTCGATTTAACGCACGTGCTAAAAATACAGCTGTTTTCCGTCCGTGACCTACATTTGAAAAAAATGTGCGTGCAATCAGCACTTTCCTTACACAGTAAAGTTTCAATGTCCCACTAAAGGATTTTGTTGCAACAGGGGACATAGCGTTTCATAAGCACATTTATTTTGACAATTCTTCTTTAATGTATCTCCAGAAGAGATTTTGCCCTCTTGTCGAATATTGTATTTTTTCTCTGCTTGTACTGGTGCTTAAGTTAAGCAGGCTTTATATTTTCAAATTTCTATTATCCCTCTTTGGATATTTTGTATTGAAATATTAGTATTGTCCATATCATTCATGTAGTTTGCTGATTGCTGGAAAATTTGACTTATCACCTTCATATAATCATTGAGTCCATCTTAATGGATATTGACAATACTGGGTCAAGAGTTCCCGTGTACCGTGACATACAGTTGGTACACGTTAATTTTACACAAAACACGGAAGAGTTCGGGTATGGGGGACAGACAGGGTTTTATTTTACTCTCTCTGTAGGTCACTTCAGGTGATAAGTATGCAGTAAGTCGGGTATTGCATGTTTGTCGTTACTCGGAATTTATTACACCCTCGCTATACTCGAAAACCACGCACTATCCTACACGTGGTAGTAATGAAAATCATACCGACATATTGCACCGTAACTAAATAATATAAGTAGGATGGAAGTCAGGTCATGTAAGGCTACACAATAACCGCCATACTTCATTTAACAACCCGACAGACATACTTGAGTAGACTTCGACCGAGTCTGTGAATGGGACCGTGACTAAAATGCACGCATCCTTACAGGGACTGGATATTCCACCTTTTATAATTATTTTTTATTGGCGTTTTCAGCTGTCCACGTGAACACCGACGTCACGCGACATTATATGTACCTGCATACTGGTACGTGATACTAGTAAAAATGGAGGACGTTCACAACGGCAAAGGGAGAGATATGAGAGAAACCTCATCCAATTACAAGGTAGGTGCTTATCAAGTGTTGTTGTTTTTTTTTTTTTTTATTTTGCAAAAGACGAATTTCTTTGCTTTTCGTTAAAATATGTTAGGTTACTTGGTTATTGTAAGTACGATGTAAATCTATTGGCAATGAAACTCAAATCATTTGCTTATATCTTATTTTTGCATCTTGTGAACTATTAGATGGATCAGTGAAACGCATCGCGCATCCGTAACTAAATGGTAGTCCGCCCTGTAAAACGTCCATGTGATATGACATACAAAAATTAACAATATTCTATCATTATAAAATAAAGTGATTGTAACAGTAGTGTCCAGCTAACAACGTGAGGGGGAATCACTTGTTGTGTACTTACTCTTAAATGTGGAGTATGCTGAGAATGTATTCTAGCCAAGTCACGTGAAAAGTGTTATCAACTCTGAATTAGTGACTGAATGTCGCAAAGAATATCGCAACAAAGCCGATCGGGGTTCGATTCCCAAGTCTGCCGTGAATAAATATTTGGTCGTCTCACTGAACATGTGGGTTTTCTTAAGATACTCCAGTTTACTCCAACAGTATGAATTCCTTCAGCCATCAGTTAATATTAATCACACTTGCTGGCGCGGATGGTGGCGTGAGAGGTATCTTACTGCGGGAGGGTACTAGAGCACTTGAGGAAAAACCTTTCGGCCGCTACCACTGTGCCACTGTTTACAAAACAACAAGTTAATGTGATCTCTTAGTCTGACGGTCGTTTAGGGTCCTTCGTACTTAAAGAATAATAGACTTGAACTGTTCCTTCCGAAACGAGCACTCTTATTGTTTAAATTTCTTAATTAAGTATTAGTAGTTAGTAACAATATGAAGATATGGAAAGGACAGGAAAAACGATGCTGTGGTTTCTGTATGGGTTTAAGGACGAACAATGGAAAATGATGAAGAAATTTCCGTTCTATGTGTGTTTGTGTGTGATAGCGTTTGTGTGTATACGCAAACGTGTGACAGGCCGAGTTAGTTTGTGTTCAATCACTTCCTACCTAACTTCCTATTTATTGTAGTTGTCATTGTCACCATAACTATTCTCGCTTTTGAATTTAAATTCGGCAAGACAGATCAAGATTTAATCTATAAGTTTATCCTCTGATATGTCACTGTGTCTGTATACTTATGCAAATTATTTAAGTCATCTTGTATATAATGTTCGTACATTCAACACTGCAATATTATGTTGATGTCCAAATGAATTATGTTGTCTGTTTATTTTACCTCTCATTTTCTCTTTGTAAATAAAAAAGAACCAGACACTTTTCAATGTTTCATCAGCGTCATATAAACGGATATATGCATCAAGCAATTATTTTTACTTTTAGTATACAAACATCCAACTGAACAATGCAGAAAAACGGAAGTTGTCGACGTTTAGTGTCAAACATAGAGATGATGACAATATCGATGACGTATTTCCTGTTGTCAATATCACCGATGTAGCTGGCATTTCAACGAAGGGAAATAAAGATGGCGGCCTTATCTACAAAATCAGTGACCCAGTTCCGATTCATCTCACATTTCTATTTGCGTTACAGGTAATTATGCATTTCTCACTAAACATCCTCTCTGGGGAGGTTGCACTCACCCAAGGGATCGGGGTTCGATTTTCCATATTGTTAGATATAGGTTACTTTACATGTACAAATAAAGGTGTGGTCGATTCTCGACCACGTTGGTTATTTTCTCTCAACAATCATTAATGATGGGTCATACACAGCAGCTTCGGAAGAAATCTAGCAAAAAAGTAACCAAAATAATGAAGCACGACTAATATTGATGCGAAGACACGTACATGATGTAACGGAATACTATTTAACTGACCTATCATCACGACCCTCTGTTTTATAAGACATTTTAGCGTGCTAATAACCTATATCTGTCTCTGAACTCGGCATGAACCACACAACAAATCTAAAGGAGTAAAGCGGAGCGTGATATAAATATGTATACATTGGATATGTGTAATATGTAATATACATCATCAGTGTTACAATCTGTCCTATTATCAAAGCACCAGATAATATTTAAATTACTTTGCATTCATAAAACATAACTAAAATCGAGCACGGTAGCGTAAATTTCGGTGTCTAGATAATCCCTTCGGTCGATGAAACCACAGGCCCTTTCAGGGAGAGAAATACCATCTTCAGCTGTTGTATGAAAGGTGTTTATTCAATTATTATTAATTTGTCTTAGAAATCTCGGTATGATACGATAGCCACGGATGTATGTATTTGATCACAGAGAAAAGGAGTTTGTCGGTACACTGTTGATTAAAATTATATTTTTTATTGTAAAGATTTAGATAAATGTATGTTTTGTTAGAATAAAAATATTTTTTTTTATAAAATTCAACATTTCAAAGCACAAAATATATAGAAATATTTTGAGTATGGTCGAATTCACCTCAGGTCGATCAGAGCTGCTTTACAGCCTCTGTTGAGTAGATTGGACTTCAGTTCTAAGAAACGGCGTCTAAAGACGTAATCATTATTCTTTTATTTTATAACCATACTGTTTAGTTCTGTGTGTAACTTTCCCAATACATAACCATACTGTTTAGTTCTGTGTGTAACTTTCCCAATACATAACCATACTGTTTAGTTGTGTGTAACTTTCCCAATACATAACCATACTGTTTAGTTCTGTGTGTAACTTTCCCAATACATAACCATACCGTTTAGTTCTGTGTGTAACTTTCCCAATACATAACCATACCGTTTAGTTCTGTGTGTAACTTTCCCAATACATAACCATACCGTTTAGTTCTGTGTGTAACTTTCCCAATACATAACCATACCGTTTAGGTCTGTGTGTAACTTTCCCAATACATAACCATACCGTTTAGTTCTGTGTGTAACTTTCCCAATACATAACCATACCGTTTAGTTCTGTGTGTAACTTTCCCAATACATAACCATACCGTTTAGTTCTGTGTGTAACTTTCCCAATACATAACCATACCGTTTAGGTCTGTGTGTAACTTTCCCAATACATAACCATACCGTTTAGTTCTGTGTGTAACTTTCCCAATACATAACCATACCGTTTAGTTCTGTGTGTAACTTTCCCAATACATAACCATACCGTTTAGTTCTGTGTGTAACTTTCCCAATACATAACCATACCGTTTAGTTCTGTGTGTAACTTTCCCAATACATAACCATACCGTTTAGTTCTGTGTGTAACTTTCCCAATACATAACCATACCGTTTAGGTCTGTGTGTAACTTTCCCAATACATAACCATACCGTTTAGGTCTGTGTGTAACTTTCCCAATACATAACCATACCGTTTAGTTCTGTGTGTAACTTTCCCAATACATAACCATACCGTTTAGTTCTGTGTGTAACTTTCCCAATACATAACCGTACCGTTTAGGTCTGTGTGTAACTTTCCCAATACATAACCATACCGTTTAGTTCTGTGTGTAACTTTCCCAATACATAACCATACTGTTTAGGTCTGTGTGTAACTTTCCCAATACATAACCATACTGTTTAGTTCTGTGTGTAACTTTCCCAATACATAACCATACTGTTTAGGTCTGTATGTAACTTTCCCAATACATAACCATACTGTTTCGGTCTGTGTGTAACTGTGTGTCTTGGACAAGTTACACACAGAACTAAACAGTATAGTTATGTATTGGGAAATTTTAGATATGTTGCCTTTCAGAAGCTTCAGTAAAATAAAATAAATACTTGTAAAAGTATGTGATTTTCACGTGCATCCACTTAATGAAGCAAATCATAGTACAATTGTGATAACATAAGTTACATCGATATATATATATGTGTGTGTATATACTTCCACGATTCCAGTAAGAGTTTGTGATATCTATCCGAGGTAGTCGCCATTGCACACACTTTGTTGATATAGGTTACATTTGGTAAAGTTTTTTCAGTTATTTTCTGCCTTACTATACTGACCTACATAGTCTTATCCCTTTATTTCATCTCGCACATCTTTATGCTCGGCACTTTGTGTGTAAACGTTTTGAAATGCAAAGCCTGATAATCATTTTTGGAAATCGGTATATATATTTTCTGCAGCAAGCCCTGTTGTCCCTGTCCACGTCACTGGCTGTGTCTCTGTTAGTGGCCCAGGTTGTGTGTGCCGAGGACAATGAAGACTTCAAGGCCAGACTTCTTAGTTCAACCTTGTTTATGAACGGCATCACAACCCTCCTAATGGTCACGTTGGGAATAAGGTAAAGTAGAGACATCATAATACTTTCTATTGTCACATTGAGAATAAGGTAAGGTAATTACATCATAGTACTTTCCAATCTCTCCCAGAGTGCATTGCGGTTCCTAATTACACCTCTGTAAACAGTTCACTCCATTTCCAAATTCTCCAGAAACGTATTTAAATCAGAAAGTCTTTCATTATTTTTCTGTTTTTTTTTTAATTGTATTGTTAGGGATGTGGTGTAACTACTATCTTACACTTGGCCATAAATGCATTGAAATAAACTGTCCCACCGATCAAACTAATAGTGATAACGCTCAAGCTTGCGGTAAACTTACGTAACTTTTATTTTCCTTTAGACCACACTGAATATATTAGGTGTAGGAATCACCTTAATACTGTGGGGATTCCGCGTGACTTTTTAGTGTCTTACTGAGGCAAGCAGATCATTCAAATACTAAAATGTCAACAAGTTGAAAAATGAGTACGACATCCTATATTATTACCCAGTATTACTCAGAAACAACACTTTTATAGACAAGGACGAGAAGAAAACATAGGTAAATCGCTTGCCGACATCTTTTATGCATGTAGGCAACTAAAACGTTCATTATCACAATAAATATTTCACGAACTTACTGTTCTCTGAGAGAACGTCAGCCAACTGGAACTATTTTTTTCTTTACTCTCGGATGTCTTCCGGACATCTATTGTACTGACGTCTCTTCACAATTCGTATTAAAATATACATATATATTAGTATTAATAATGGCAGCAGCGGATAGGATTGTCGTAAGTAAGTAAACAATTATGTGCTCCAGTAAACAATTAGTAATAAATATATTTATACAGATTGCCGCTATACCAGGGAGCATCACCAGACTACGTCGCTCCCCTCCTAGCCATGGCCGACATAGATAAAGGCGGATGTAACGGCACACAGCCGATCACAGGTAAAACAGCACACGGCCAATCACAGGTAAACCAACACTCGGCCAATTACAGGTAAAACAACACACGGCCCATTACAGGTAACACAACACTCGGCCTATTACAGTCAACATAACACTCGACCTATTACAGGTAAAACAGCACACGGCCTATTACAGGCAACACCAAACTCGGCCTATTACAGGTAAAACAGCACACGGCCTATTACAGGTAACACCAAACTCGGCCTATTACAGGTAAAACATTACGCGGCCTATTACAGGTAAAACAGCAGACGGCTAATTACAGGTAAGACAACACTCAGCCTATTACAGGTAAAACAGCACACGGTCAATTACAGGTAACACAATAACACACAGACGTTAACGGTTTATATTATATAGACACGCTTTCGAAAGGATTATTTTAACTTTGATCCTCGTTTGAAACCGATGTTCTATTTCAGTTTTGAACAACATCACTAACATGACAGAGACGGTGTTCCCTGAAGGTACCGAGGAAACCATTCTACAGGCAGTCCAAGGGGTATGGTAATGTTTCAAAATACTGAACTGGGTTCTGTTGGCATTGATGGAAAGTATGAATGCTAACTATGATAAACAGTAAATGCATAGAAGTGCGTTTCACATTGGGACATTGCTAAAACCGAAGACAGTCTCATTTTGTTTCTGTTAGTTGTATTTTATACTCGCACAAAAATAGCGCCATGATATCTTTCATATATGTCAACATAGATCCATCGGACGGTTTCCGATTTAATTCTTCATAATGACGTCACACATCCTTTGTTAACTAAATAAGTATATGATATTTTTATGCGTACTTTCAAACTTAATTATGTTTTAGTTACAAGGCAGCCTATTGGCTGCTGGTGCCATACACTTCCTGATAGGAGCTACGGGATTGGTTGGAGTGTTACTGAGATTTATCGGACCAATCACCATTGTCCCAACTATTCTTTTATTCGGCATATACATGACGAAATCCATCACGAAGTTCGCACAGGTCCATTGGGGTATTTCTGTCGTGTATGTTCAATTCTCACTATATAAGATAAACGATGGGTTCACACAAAATATGAGCATCTGTTTCTACGGTAATATAGTATTTGTACTGCCTCGATGATGACCGTTTTGTACCAAGCTGCTGAAATGTTTGTCTCCTTCGAGACTGATCAGATTAATGTTGACTAGACTGATGCAGGTTACCCGTCAGAACATTGGTCTTACTCCTGACGCGAAAATAGTAAACATTAAATTTTCTTGGCAGTTTGTGACACCTCCCGCTTGTAAGCGTTTTAGCATTAACGTAACTTGGCCAAAGTAACATTTTTACATTCGGTAAAAAATACTCGTTTTTTGTCATCAAAAGATGAAGTATTTTTTCAATTAAAGAAAAGCATGTACGTGTAGATATATTCATATACAGATTGACATGGTTAACTTATCATTCGTACCGTGTAAAAAGACAACCATACTTAAAACATGATTAATATGTCCGGTTAAAATGTTAACTGTACAATGGAGAACGGCGGTGAAATCCATTGATAAACATACATACTTATTTCCTAATTATATTTTTCGGATCGTCTTGCAGGACATTTGCCATTGCCATGATACTGTCGTTATACCTAGCTAAGAGAGAGATGCCGATACCTGTGTATACCAGAAAGAAACAGTGTCACGTGATCCGTTACCCTCTACATCAGGTGTTCGCTGTAAGTAATAGATATCATGTGATTAGTTACCCTCAAAAGCAACGTGTCACGTGATCATCTACCCTCTGTCTCTGGTGTTGTCTGTTACAATGTAGTAACGTTTAACTAATTCACCTAAGTAACGTGTCACGTGATCCGTTACCCTCTGCGTCAGGCGTTCGCTGTGTGTAACGTGTCACTTGATTGGCTGTATTTGTACGTTTGTAGCCAGAAAAAAATTGGTGTGAAGACCGTTAACCCATGTTCAGAAATGAAACGGACGAAGTTCAATGAAATCATAACAACGCGAAAAATGATTCGAATTCAGATTCGAATTTGATGGAAATGAAATAGACACGACCATCTTAACTAAAGCTGTTTGTGAAAATTAGGTTTAAAATAACGTAGGATTTGTCTTGATACTAAACACTTGAATATCATTACAAGAAACAAAATATTATTTCATTATAGTGTGATACATTTCAAAATTTTGGTGAGTGCCATTTCATACACAGATACTAATTGCCTTGGTGATTGGATGGCTACTTTGCGGTATACTAACGGCGGCTGGGGCATTTAGTACGGCCAGGGACAGTCAAGACTACTACTCCAGAACAGACGCAAGAGTTGACGTCATCAGTCGCGCCAGCTGGTTCTACTTTCCCTATCCCGGTAAACATCACAACAGGTCTAAGACACAACACAAACTCTAGATTCCAAATCCCGTATAAATTGAAAAATGATATAAAAACTAGATGTTTTCCAATGATAAATGTTTTCATATTATTTAATTTGTAGCATGTCTCTTCTAAAGTTCCCGAAATGTACGTCGGATCTCGAAGAACTACGAGACAGAGGTCGGAAGCCAAAGCGATGAAATCAGGATCATACCCGAATTATTTTGAATTTGAATTCCAGTAGCATAGAGTAATGACATATTTATCTCATTCTTTTATACAATGAAAAGTGAATAAAATGGATTGCGTGCCATTATGAATGTAATGAAAAGTCACTTTCGTAAAAATGTTGTACATGATTGCAAAGAATGCGTTATAGGCCTTTTATCAAATATCTTCTTTTTTCCAGGACAGTTTGGTAAAATCAGTTTCAACATTTCAGCATTTGTTGGGTTTTGTGTAGCAACAATAGTTTCCATACTGGATTCAATTAGCGACTACTACGCATGCGCATCAACATGCAATGTTCCTCCGCCTCCCGCTCACGGCGTTAACAGAGGTATCGCCGTCGAAGGGTTCTGTAGCGCACTAGCTGGTGTGATAGGCTGTGGTCACGCAACTACAACGTACGGAGGCAACGTTGGCGTCATAGGCCTGACAAAGGTACACGTCACTTAGGCAACGTTTGGGTCATAGGCTTGACAAGGGTACGTCACTTAGGCAACGTTGGGGTCATAGGATTGATAAGGGTACGTCACTTAGGCAACGTTGGGGTCATAGGATTGATAAAGGTATGTCACTTAGGCAACGTTGGGGTCATGGGATTGATAAGGGTACGTCACTTTGGCAACGTTGGGGTTATAGGATTGATAAGTTTACGTCATTTAGGCAACGTTGGGGTCAAAGGATTAATAAAGGTACGTCACTTAGGCAACGTTGGGGTCATAGGATTGATAAGGGTTCGTCACTTAGGCAACGTTGGGGTCATAGGATTGATAAAGGTACGTCACTTAGGCAATGTTGGCGTCATAGGCTTGACAAAGGTACGTCACTTAGGCAACGTTGGGGTCATAGGCTTGACAAAGGTACGTCACTTAGGCAACGTTGGCGTCATAGGCTTGACAAAGGTACGTCACTTAGGCAACGTTAGACAAAGTACCAGGGTTTTGTTTCCTCCTTACTGATCTATTGTCCGGTAGTGTCTCCCTACTTAGTTGTTTCCTTTCCAGGTTGGAAGTCGTCATGTTTTCATCATCGTCGCTCTCATCTACATATTGTTTGGTGTCATTGGGAAAGTATCAGCTGTTTTTATAACAATACCGTATCCCGTGTTAGGGGGCGTTCTTGTTGTCATGTTTGGTGCGTTCAATGGTGTTGTCCTGTCCAATCTTAAATATGTAGATCTGTCGTCCACTCGGAACCTCGCGATCATCGGAACCTCTCTTCTGGTTGGTCTGATGATCCCACACTGGGTGGAGAGATATGAAAACGTCATCAACACAGGTAGGTAGACTGAGTATTTACTGAACACCTCTGAAATCCCCACATTAGTTCACAACAAAAAATGAAACCTACGAAAGAACGTAAAATTGTGTAGTTGCATAATCAAAATTAGACCATATTTTATCTTCGGTCGATAGTGTTAAATTAAGACAAAAAGTCATCAAAAAAAATTAATTGTTATTGTTTACTTTTAGAATTCAACAAAAACATACGGATTTTTCCGTTTTGATAATAATTTCATTAACACTTCTCTAATCTAGACCGAACAATTACGTAATTCTAGTTTCTGGTAGGGGGCATGCCTATACCGATATAATTTTAGTAACATCTTATTCTTCACCCCTAAAAATATCAATGTTTCATCAGGAAATAAAGGGGCAGATGACATCATCACGATGTTGCTAGGTAACCCAAACCTCGCTGGTGGTACCCTGGCTTGTTTTCTTGACAACACCATTCCAGGTAGGTCCCAACAGCACAACCAAAACCACCATTCATTTGTCACAGGTGTAAACACTACAATGTTTTGTCACAGGTGTAAACACTACAATGTTTTGTCACAGGTGTAAACACAACAATGTTTTGTCACAGTTGTAAACATTACAATGTTTTTAAGGGATGTTTAATAATATCTTCGATAAGAAACAAATACAGATTATTTTTAATTTCCTTTTTGTCCATCAGGCTCAAGAGAAGAGCGAGGTATCGCTGCCTGGGCGACCCCAGATGATACTGGTTTGTCTACCATTATACCGTCAGATTTCAGTGAAGGATACGAAGTTTATAATCCTATTTTCTTTGACAAATACAAGAATTCCAAAATTCTACGGTTTCTACCTTTTATGCCAAATCCTGTGAACGGAAACATGCTGAAACAAAGGAGTTTATGTGTCGACTTTAACAGACCATGTAGTTTAACAGGTTCTGTTATCTTGACTTCCACAAGTTAATGTACGGATATCGATATACCATATCATTTACAAAAAGAAAACATGGTTGATTCAGGGCATAATGGATTTTGAAACGGGTGGAATTAGAGATCAGTAGACAATTTTTCATATTACTGTTGGTCATGATGTGGAGTTTTGTTTCAATATATTTGTTGTATCAACAAAGGAGTTAGAGAGCTCGTTCTCACACTTAACATCAATCAGTATCCTATGTTGGTTAAAATGATCCAAGGGAGGTAACTCCAATAGTAATTCGCCATTATTGGTATGTAAAAGCTCCAAATTACTATCAGTTATCCTCATCACTAATAGGTCCCGTGACTGACAATTCACTGACATAGATCCTTCACCAGTGCCTAACACTTTAGATTTATAAAGAGATAAGAACCTAAAATACTTTTTGAAAGTGTACATAATCATATCGTACAAAACCATCAGAAATCACACTGTGTTTACTTCTAAATAAAAGTTTATGGTTTTATTAAAACGCCCTTAACTACTTGTTTGTTAGTAAATGGCTGATTCCTGTATCCTCCATCGATATTGCTGGAGATCTGTACCAAATCAGCTGAGATGTGACGAGAACAACAAGAAATACACGTTTATTCTTTATGATGCCATACAAACTTTTACTTTTTCTTTAGCGGTATGTTTAATCGGATGTATGAATAATTCAAGGTAAAATCGAAATACTTTCTGTTAGATGATTAGTACAGAAGTATGTTTTAACATTTGCTTGACACTGCTACAATATAAACTAACCGGAAATATATGTGATTCATGTACGATAAATGCCAGCTTGCTTTTGATCATTATGGCGTCAGTATTATCGGCATCGAAACAGCGAAGCTTTGCATTTTACAGTTTAAATCAAGTTATAATCGGCAGAAAATGTGGCAGGAAATGTTAATATCAACATTGAATTGTCCTGTGGCATTCATGGTCTGTATAAATGACAGAATTTTGCAGGCGAACGCACCATTTTTTGCTTGCGAGCAATATGGTGTTCGCCTGTAAAGCTTTGTCATTTATAATGACCATAAATACCACAACAAGGCAATGTAATGCTTAAGAGTGAACAGGTATCCCACACCTATTCTTTTATCTCGTTTGTCTACATCAAAAATTATTCCTTTTTGCACTTCTAAATTAGAATAAGACTTTGTTATCTTCTTACTTCAGTCGATTAATACTTGGCATTCAGTATCACATTACTGATATTTTTATCTCTCCAAATAAACTACGATTGTAGGAGCATTTCTTCCTGCTTTCATATAGGGGAAAGAAAAGAAAGAGAAAACGAACAGAAGAAGTCGTTAAGACAATCATGTGTTTAATGTACCTTCTACCTTCTATCTCCCCCTACCGTTTATTCGCTACCTTCTACGTTTTACCCCCTTCCCCCTACTCCCTACACCATACTCTCTTGCCTCTACTACCTACATTCTACCCTCTACCCTTTATCCCCTACCCTCTACCTCCTGCCCCTTAACTTGTACCCCTTCCCTCTACCCCCTTTCCATATCCTCTTCCCTCTACCCCCTACCCTTTACCCACTGCCTCCTCATCTTTATTCATTTCCCCTACCCCTATCCTCTACCCACTACCCTTTATCCCCTACCGTCTACCCTCTATCCCCTACCCTCTACTCTCTACCCTCTATCTAGAGATGCAACCGCGTGTTTACCTTTATCTGCCACTGTGATAACAAATTCTTTCTTAGCAAAATGCAGAAAAGTTTACGAACAAAGGTAGCAATGGTAAATATTTGCTTATCAAACACATTCACAAAATGAAATGTGAGATGTGATCGGGAAATTGCTCACATCTTCAATATCTTTAAATGAACTTCCCCTGTTATATCTGCCTTGTTGACATTTAAGACGTTGTACATCTTATAGCCATCACCCGCATCAGAGCTCGCCATGTAGCTCATTTTAAAAACACAAAACAGATTGTCAGGTTCACGGGTAAAGTATTCACAAACGATTATGATACAAATAAGGTACCCAGTCATTATAAATCATTTTTACTAAATAGAACACATTCGCGCGCGTAAACCCTCCTTGTCATTACTTCCCCTCCCCTACAACCTCAACCTCCCTTACACTTCCTCCCTCACATACCCTCGCCGTCACACTTACCTCACACATTTACATATTTAATTATAAACCAGATACAATCTGTCACTGACGTCATGCACTGAGAGTTACCGTTCGTACCATGCTACAGTCCAGTAGAGGCGACTGAAGAGTCCGGCACGGCGAAATAGCTGTATGATGCCACTGAATAATTTCGCTATACTTAATTCGTATAGAAATTCCATTTACTTTTTTTCCTTATTTCTTTATTGACCAAAGTCATTAACAGGTAAATCATATATATATATGTATAAACTATCTTCTTTATTGACCAAAGTCATTAACAGGTAAATCATATATATATGTATAAACTATCATATGCTTGAGTACAATAACAGATCAGAAACTGCACGAGGAACAGTGTTGACAAGTTAATGAGGAGTGAGGCCTGTCGGGGTTTCTGAAGCAGAAATGTTGGACAACTTATGACAAACTTGTTGTATTCAGGAGACATAATTCTACCACCATTTTCTCGCATACAACTTTATGTCTTATCATAAACGAATCTTTGATGAAGTGGGTCAGTGTGAGTTCAGCGCTAAGCATTACATCTGTCCGTTTTGATATATTAACTTTTCAATCAAATTTTTGTTTTCTTATTTCAGAGATCAATGTAGCCATGAAATATCGATATAATTATAGATTCATGGCCTCTTTGTTTGATCAAGTGCTGTGATTGCTAGTTTGTTTCGAGAAAGGCCCTATGTAATGTTGTTATAACTTGTGCCAATTTCTATTGCTGACAAGGATGGCAATAAAATATGTTTAAATCAATATCAGATTTTTGTCTTTACTGCTGAGAGATTATTCGTCGTCTAATCATCTAAAGGTTTTGTTTAAGTAATCTATGACTTTTTACAGGCAATACATTAAGAAAGAATGAGATGAAAACTTTGCCCACCATTTTACATTTAACCTTCCCAGTATTAACACTAGCAAACTGTTATCATCAAAAAATCCTTTATTCTATTTGTGCTGACCCCGACATAATAACCAAAAAATTTGTAGAGTTGTTAGGCTTTATTGTCGTACCGGATACTGCTGATATTTGTAGATATATAGTATAAGCTAAAAGAGATACAAACAGTTCATTAAACTGATGTTTTAATTTAATTGACACTTAATTAAAGTTAATAAGATTCTAGAAAATTGGAAATTATTATTTGATTCTGAGTAAAATGTAAACATTGAAAAATATCAGAAATATGACAGAAATATGAGCACACGCAGATGCACTTAAAACCACACGTTTAGTTACTAAGAAAGATTGAAAGCGGTATGAGTCATTAACACAACTTTCAAAATACGAGCATGTGAAACTTTGCATTATGCTACAGTGAATAACTAGGTCAACTGGTACACTGCTTAACGAGTGTCACATAAACAAACTCAAAATTGAAAATAACTGCCTGGAGATGCTTAAACTACGTATGCATTAATTCAACAGAAGGTTGGGAAATATGAAAAATAATACGATCGCATGATCTGAACAAATACTTACACAGTATGGGCCACATTTAATTGTCTCGGACAAATATATCAACATTCGTCTCAACGTCGGGCGGAACGCGAGGTATTCACGGGGAGATAACTCTATTGCACTTACTAAACAGTAGGTGGAACACTACTAAAATCTGGCAAGGGCAGTACACTATTACACATCATATCTGTTGTCATAAATGGTAAAAAATTGGAAAAAAAGTTAAGAAAGCTCATACCTTGTTTGTAACCCGAGATTTCGTTGGTTTGTTTCCCTCTATCAAGAGATAAACCGAAAGATTCTTAACACGTTCTGATGACGTCAAATACACATAAAGATTCATAACACGTCCTGATGACGTCAAACACACATAAAGATTCATAACACGTCCTGATGCGTCAAACACACAGAAAGATTCATAACACGTTCTGATGACGTTAAATACACATAAAGATTCATAACACGTTCTGATGATGTAATATTATAATGACAAAACGTTGTCTTCAGTTGATGTGTAACAATAAACATTAAACACAACCTTCTAACTACATAAATGTAAAAATGATTTGTCATGATTGCTGATTCATTTGTAAATTAAATTGAGCAATTTAAAATGATTTCGTTGATAGTTTTGAAATCAAATCTTAATCATTAAAAAGGCAATTAATTTGTCTATGAAATTGTGGATCGATAAACGAATGGTCTGGGATCTCTGAAAAAAGTAAACTAAGCCTTCATTATTGCTTTCGCCTATCCCCAACTCGACAGACATATATGTCTTATGTCTTACAAGGTTTAAGACACAAGACAGATATGTCTGTCGAGTAATGATGAAGGCTCTTGGTCCATGGTATATATATATACATTAAAATGTCAATCACACACTATTGTAAGTATGTGACATTAGTTAGTATTACTCTCTAGGTATATTAGTGTAATTATAGTACCGCATCTTAAAACATGGAGCCGACAGTGGGGATCTGAAATACAGAGTTTGAAGTAGATACACGTACCATTACCCTGCTTGTTGAGACTTTCGAGGGGGCGGGGGCGGGGGTTGGGCATATTATTTCACATGATATACATATGTACTGAAATCATCTTCAACATGTACGTTTTGTGTTAACATTGTATATCTTACAAGATAAGCTATCACATTGTGTGAAAGAATAATGAATTTACTATATGCAATAAGGTTATCAATCACCTAACTTATATTTGTTAAAAGAAAAGTGACAGTTTTAAACTAACTTGTGAAGTAAATACGAGTCATTTATCTCTGACGTCGCAGTGTTATCGTACGTGTGTTATTTGACGGGACAGAATTAGATATGATATCATTAGATAGGTATAAGTGATACAGAGTAACACAGCATGTC